GTATTCTTAGTAGAGATGGAGTTTCACTATGTTGGCCAGGCTGGTCTTGAACTCGTGACCTCAGGTGATTCACCTGCCTCAGCCTCCCAAAGTGCTGGGATTACAGGTGTGAGCCACTGTGTCTGGCTGAGAACTTGGTTTAGAATCATCTGGGAATTTAAGCCATAGGAAAGGATGAGGTTGATCTTGGAGGCTGTGTAAGGAAACAAAACAAGATCAAATGCTTAACTCTGACAGAGCAGAAATTTGTGAAAGAGTTAAAGCGGAAATGGTAAAGGAAACATGAAAGAAAAGTCAAAGTCATCAAGGAAAGGAAGCTTTCCAATCAAGGAGGTGATAAAACCTGCCTGATCCAGGCAGTGTCAGACCTGCCAAAAGCACCTGAGTTTGTGGGCTGAGAGGTCACTGGTGGTCTCAGCAGAAGCGGTTTCCATTCAGCCTAGAGAGCAGAGGCACTAAGCTAGGCCTTGGGCAAGAGGCACAGAGAAGACAAGTTACTACCCAAAGTCGTCTGTTTTCATAATTTTGAATACCCTAATTTTTTCTCTGGTTACCTTCTCTCTTGCTCAGGCATATTTTTGAGATAAGCATTTGTTTATAAGATGCCATATGATCAGGAGCTACAGTTGATTTTCAGAGTTCTGCTTGCTGGCATAGAACACCTCCAGCTAGCCAGATCAGGGCACTGTTGAGTTCAGCTGGATTTGCTTTTGGTCTGATTCATCCAAATAAGGCATGGGCAGCCCCACATTCCTGAGGTTCTGTGTCTGCTGATATTTTCCACAATTAGACAGTCCAGCTCAACAGATAATGTCAGAAAAAGAACCCCTACAGTATCAGCTCCCCACTTACAAACAAAGCATGAACATTTGTATTCTTGAGTGTATATACCCTATGCCTGTGTAGATGAAATGACAAGAACTAGGACTTCGCTGTGACAATGTTGATGGTGACAAAAAGGCAGGACTTCAAATAGTAGCAAGAGGGAGGACAAGTCACAAGGATGTATTCATTTATTTATTTTGAGACGAAGTCTCAGTCTGTCACCCAGGCTGGAGTGCAGCCGCGCGATTTTGGCTCACTACAACCTCCACTTCCCAGGTTCAAGCGATTCCCCTGCCTTAGCCTCCCGAGCAGCTGGGACTACAGGAGCCCACCATCACACTGGGCTAATATTTGTATTTTTAGTAGAGACGGGGTTTTGCCATGTTGGCCAGGCTGGTCTCGAACTTCTGACCTCAAGTGATCCACCCGCCTTGGCCTCCCAAAGTTCTGGGATTACAGGTATGAGCCACTGCACTCAGCCAGATGTACTTATTTTTGAGACAGGGTCTGGCTCTGCTACCTGGGCTGAAGTGTAGTGGCACCATCATGGCCCACTGCAGCCTCAACCTCCTGGGCTCAAGTGATCCTCCCGTCTCAGCCTCCTGAGTAGCTGGGTCTACAGGTGTGCACCACCCCACTGCGCTTGGCTAATTTTTATTTTTAAAAATGTTTTGACCATGCACAGTGGCTCATGCCTGTAATCCCAGCACTTTGGGAGACTGAGGCAGGCGGATCACCTGAGGTCGGGAGTTCAAGACCAGCCTGACCAAAATGATGAATCCCATCTCTACTAAAAACACAAAATAAGCTAGGCATGGTGGTGCATGCCTGTAATCCCAGCTACTTGGGAGGCTGAGGCAGGAGAATTGCTTTAACCCAGGAGGTAGAGGTTGCAGTGAGCCAAGATCGTGCCATTCATTGAACTCCAGCCTGGGCTACAAGAGTAAAACTCACTCTGTCTCAATAAATAAATAAATAAATAAATAAATAAATAAATAAAAATAGACCAGGCACGGTGGCTCACGCCTGTAATCCCCACACTCTGGGAGGTCGAAGTGGGCAGATCACCTGAGGTTGGGAATTTGAGACCAGCCTGACCAACATGGAGAAACCCGTCTCTACTAAAAATACAAAATTAGCTGGGAGTGATGGCACATGCCTATAATCCCAGCTACTTGTGAGGCTGAGGCAGGAGAATTGCTTGAACCCAGCAGACAGAGGTTGCGGTGAGCTGAGATCAAGCCATTGCACTCCAGCCTGGTCAAGAGCGAAACTCCGTCTCAAAAAATAAAAAATAAAAAATAAAAGAAGATATATATTTTTTTGTAGAAGCAGGGTTTCCCTCTGTTGCCCAGGCTGGTGTCAAACTCCTGGACTCAACCGATCCTCCTGCCTTAGCCTCCCAAAGCACTGGCATTACAGGCTGCACCCAGCCTATTTACTTTATTATTCATTCCTGCATTCATTTACTTTTTTTTTGAGATGGAATCTCACCCCATCCCCCAGGCTCGAATGCAGTGGTGCGATCTCGGCTCACTGCAACCTCCGCCTCCCAAGCTTAAGCGATTCTCCTTCCTCAGCCTCCCAAGTAGCTGGGATTACAGATGCACACCACCATGCCTGGCTAATTTTTGTATTTTTAGTAGAGACAGGGTTTCACCACATGGGTCAGGCTGGTCTTGAACTCCTGACCTTGTGATCCGCGTGCCTCAGTCTCCCAAAGTGCTGGGATTACAGGCGTGAGCCACTATGCCCGGCCCTAATTTTTGTACTTTTTAGTAGAGATGGGTTTTCTCTGTGTTGGTCAGGCTAGTCTCAAACTCCCGGCCTCAAGTGACCCACTTACCTCAGCCTCCCAAAGTGCTGCAATTACAGCGTGAGCCACCATACCCAGCCCCGCCCAGCTAATTTTTGTATTTTTAGTAGAGATGGGGTTTCACTATGTTGTCCAAGCTGGTCTTGAACTCCTGACCTCAAATGACCCACCCGCCTCTGCCTCCCAAAGTGCTGGGATTACAGGCATGAGCCACCTCGCCTGGCCTCATTCATTTACTTCTTAGGAGGAGTTCCTAACTGCTCTAGGTTTTAGGATGGAGGAGAGAGAAATTGAAAGAATTTATGCCTGAAGGCCTTGGGCAATTTTTTTCAGTGTCAGATGAGGACAGGTGGCCTCCTTAAGATCACAAAGCATCAAAAGATGTGGAGTGGGGGGGAAAAAGCAGCTTCCAGTTTGGGTTTGCTAACACTCATAAGAGATTACCCTGAACAAGAAGCCAGAGTCCTACTTTACACATGTGTAAAATGGGGATAATGGGATGGTTGTGAGAACAAAACAACATACTCTAAATTTCTAACACAGGCTGGGCATGGCAGTTCACAGTTGTAATGCCGTAATTTTGGGAGGCCAAGGTGGGAGAATCCTTGAGGCCCTGGAGTTTGAGACCAGCCCTGACAACACAGCCAGAACAAGTTTCTGTAAAAAATTTTAAATTAGCTGGCACAGTGGCTTGTGCCTTCAGTCCCAGACATTTGGGAGGCTGAGGAGGGAGAAATGCCTGAGTCCAAGGGTTCGAGGTTACAGTGAGCTAGGATTGCACCACTGCACTCCAGACTAACAACAGAGTGAGACCCTATCTCGAATAAATAGATTTCTAACACGTTGGCTCATGGTTATTAACAACAGTGGCAAGAGGCCAGAAACTGTACTTCATCTATCAGATGAATTCTCATTTTTGTCTCACCACAACCCTATCCTGGTTGTGCAGATGAAGAAACTGAGTTTTAGAAACATTAAATAACATCCAGGTGCAGCAGCTCACGCCTATAATCCCAGCACTTTTGGGAAGGTGAGGCAAGCGGATCGCTTGAGTCCAGGAGTTTGAGACCAGCCTGGGCAATGTGGCGAAACCCCATCTTTACAATACACACACAAACAAAATGAGCTGGGTGTGGGTACATGCCCATAGTCCCAGCTACTCAGGAGGCTAAAGTGGGACGCTCGCTTAAGCAAGGGAAGGGAGGTTGCAGTGAGCCAATAACACACCACTGCATTTCCAGCCTAGGTGAGAGTGAGACCTTGTCTCAAAAAAACAAAAAGAAACGTTAAATAATATCCTTAATATTGCAACTTAAGTGACAGCCCAGGATATATCAATTTCCTTGTAAGGTTTTCTGAACAAAACACCAGTCACATAAGTGCATTTTATTTTATATTTTTGTTTATTTGAGATGGAGTCTCTCTCTGTCTCCCAGGCTAGAGTGCAGTGGTGCAATCTTTGCTCACTGCAACCTCCCTCTCCTGGGTTCCAGCGATTCTCCTGCCTCAGCCTCCCGAGGGGGTAGCTGAGACTACAGGTGCGCGCCACCATGCCCGGCTAATTTTGTATTTTTAGTAGACATGGGGTTTCACCATGTTGTGCAGGCTGGTCTCGAACTCCTGACCTCAGGTGATCCTCCCACCTCGGCCTCCCAAAGTGCTGGGATTACAGGCGTGATCCACCACGCACGGCCTATTTTATTTTTTGAAACAGGGTCACACTCTGTCGTTCTGGCTGGAATGCAGTGATGTGATCACTGCCCACTACAGCCTCGACCTCCGGGCTCAAGCAATCCTCCCCGCCTAGCCTCCTGAGTAGCGAGCGCCACCACGCCCAGCTAATTTTTATTTTTTTATTTTTTGTAGAGACGGTGTCTAAGATGCCCAGGCTGGTGGCTGATGTCAAACTCCTAAACTGAAGCGATCCTCCCCGGCCTTGGCCTCCTGGCCTCCTAAAGCACCAAGCATGAGCCACCACGCCCGCGCCTGGCCTACAAGTGTATTTTAATAAAAGTATTATTAATGTCTTTACCTGAACAAATTCGCTTTTAAATTGTGGCTTATATTTCACCCAGAAATCAAAGCACAATTCAGTCCCGAGGCGGGGACGGTGGGAGCTGGGCGGGGCGAGGGCGGGGAAGGACCAGGAGCAGAGATTCAAAAAGAGTAAGAAAGAGGGCAAAACGTGCACAGTGCATCTTCACAGGTAAGATCCTTGCCAGGCTCCTGTTTTAATGGCTTCCTCCTGAAGAAGACTCAAGCAGAGTGTAAGATATTTTAGGAAAGTAGGGCATTTTGAAGGTATTTCATAATCTCTCAAAACCGGAGACTGCTCCTGTCCCACCTCGTTAGAGAAAACAGCGATGCTCAAAGGCAACCTCCTTCCTGACACTGCCTGGTCGGACGCGACGCGGTGGTCGCCCGCACGGAATGCAGACGCAAGGCTGCTCCTCGGTCTCGGGGACGCGTCATCCCCATTTCCACTCGCGGAGGCGCAGGGTCCGGGCGCAGGACCCCAGTCGACCTTGACTGGCGGCGCGACCTTGAGGCCTGCGTTCGCCTCAGTTACCCCCTCTGCGCAATGGGGAGACGCGCCTCATCGCTTGACGACGGCCGAAGAGCTGCCGCGCTTCCGTCTCCCGCGTGCGCGCGCGCCAAGCTGCCCACCCCCGTTCCGCACTGACCCTCCCCCATGCCCCGCGCCCCGCACTGCCGCCCCGCCCCGAGTCCCATGCCGCAGCCACCGCGACGGAGCCCGCGGGCGGGAACCTGCCTCCGCGCGTTAGCGCGCACGCGCGCCTCCTGTGTCGTCCCCACCAGCGCCGACTTCCGTCCATAGGCCAGCTGCACTGTCACTCTGGCAAAGTCGCAGATGCGATTGGCCAGGACGGAGGCGCGAGACCGGGCTGCGGGCGGGGCCGAACCTGGTATAAAAGGGGCGGGAGGCCAGGCTCGTGCCGCTTTGCAGACGCTGCCGCCGAGGAAAGTCTTGTGCTACTAGCCATGGTCAACCCTACCGTGTTCTTCGACATTGCCGTCGACGGCGAGCCCTTGGGCCGCGTCTCCTTCGAGGTCGGGCGTGCGGTGGCGTGCGGGAATGGGGCCCAGAAAGCGGGCCGAGGTCGGGGTGGGTGGTGGCGCCCCGAAGGCCCGGGCGCGGGGCGACCCTTCTGGAGGGGCGAGCGCGGGCGGGCGGCGGCGCCATTTCCTGACTAGGGGCCATTTTGGGAGGTCCGCGAGGCGCGGGGGGGAGGCCGGGGCGGTGGCGGACAAAGGCAGGCGGGGCGGCTGCGCGGCTGTTGGGGGAGGGGGTCCGCGTCTGCCCGCCTGCCCCATGTGGCCGCGCCCTGTCCTGCCCGACGCACGTGCTTGGCGGCCGCGCTCAGGCCAGCGCCTTGAGAGCCGTTGGGCTCCGCCCTAGCTCGGCCTGGGCGTAGCAGACCGGAGCCAGAAGCGCGCTCACGACCGCTTTCCTGGGAAGCTGTCCCTCGGCAGGCACGGGTGCTTTACATCCTGAGCTGGGAAGCTGCTTGCTTGAGGGTTTTTCTCAAGGATCGAGGCGCGGTGTGAGCCGGTCCATGCTCAGTCCTTCTGTAGATCCCGGGAGGCCATGCTATAAAAGGAGATAATGCTGGGATGTGATGGATTGCCGCTTGAAGTATCTTCCATTTAGATAAAGGAGGAATATTTATACATGAGCCCCAACGTCCGCCCGTCCCCCACCCCCAAGCGGAAATGTGAAAATGGGCCTTGCCTTTGCTGGTGCCCAAGGACCGCCTTCCACTGCAGTGACGGCGTTGGCGGGGGAGGCGCTCTTGAGCCCCTCCCGATTGTCCCTTTGCCTACCAGGCAAGTAGCGACTGGCCACAAGGCAGGCCTCTTCCGACCAAGGTGGATTACCAGTGATTACCTAATTAGTTTTGAGAGCATTAAATGAGTTCTTAAAGATCAGTTGTAATTACAGCATAATATCTAAACTTGGCGCATGTCTTAAAAGTTAAATATTGAGTGCGATTCCATTCCAGTTAACATGGATAGACCTTAGGGAGTAGCGAAATAGGATATTAGTGATTTTATTACTTTAAACCACGTCTCAAAAGGCTACCAGATCGATCCTCATGCAGTCTTCCTGAGGACAGGGTGGTTTCCTTGTTGCCTACCCTGTCCGTAGTGCCTGGCACTTAGTAGGCACTGAAACACTGCGTGTTAATCCACACCCCACCCCACCTATGACTGTAGTCAAAGCTGGTAAGTGACAAGGGCTTTCGTGGAAACTTGGCCTGACCTAATACTGAGCATCAGGTTACCCAGAGAGCTTAAGGGAAGTGAGAAAGGACTCGCAGGTCTTGGTGAGAATGGAGGGGTAACTGCCAATAAGGGCTTTGGGTTTAGCGAAAGTCTGAAAGGGAAGCCATAGTAACTTAAATGTACCGACTACAAAGCTCTGAGAAAAGCTGATGTTTTAAAAAGACCATACGTTCAAGGTACAAATACCTAAAAACTAAAAAAATAAGTACGTTGGCCAGGCGCGGTGGGCCACACCTGTAATCCTAGCACTTTGGGAGTCCGAGGCGGGCGGATAACGAGGTCAGGAGATCGAGACCATCCCGGCCAACATGGTGAAACCCCACCTCTATTAAAAATACAAAAATTAGCTGGTCGTGGTGGCGCTTGCCTGTAATCCCAGCTACTCCGGAGGCTGAGGCAAGGAGAATCGCTTGAACCCGGGGGGCGGAGGTTGGAGTGAGCCACTGCACTCCAGCCTGGCGACAGAGCGAGACTGTCTCAAAAAAAAAAGTACATTGCTGTAAGAGAAATGTACACGGATACTAATAGTTAATTCAGTCACATCTCTGGAATAGCTTATAAAATGCTACTTTTAAACAAGCTGTTTTTATGAAAGGGCTTGTAAATGTTTGTGGTATTTAAGCTACCTCTCTAACCATAATGCATTCAAGAAGGGTTCAAGACCAGTTATACTAGAAACCAATCTTTATTTTTTACCCCACTACTAGGTAAGGGGCCTGGAAACCAAGAAGTGACTGCTCATCTAATCCATAAAGCTATGTTAACAGATTGGAGGTAGTAGCATTTTCATTACGAGTGGCTAAAACAACAGCTATTTACCCCTGATCATGCAGCAGTGCTTGCTCTTCCTTAGAATTTTGCCTTTAGGTTCTAGCTCAAGTTGGGGGGTGGTGATAGACATTTAAGAAGCCATATATCTTTTCAGAAGTAGGTGTGATGTACTAAAAGTTTGAGACACTTTCTAGAAGTCTCACTATTTAAGTCATGACTAGTTCTGGATTTTTGGCATGTCTTCGGGTTTCATGTTTCTTAACCCAACTGCCTGCAGGGCCTTATGGCTGTCAGGAGCAGTTCTCAGGATTAAAGTAATTACTAAAGAAGTATTGTAGTGAGAAAATGAATTTTTGACTCAGAAGCCCCTAAAGGCATGAGTACTAAGCAACAAAATAAGCAGATGTTAATTAACTGTAATTTTCTCTTACAGCTGTTTGCAGACAAGGTTCCAAAGACAGCAGGTTGGTCCATTTTCTAAGTTTAACAAAGATGTTCCAATTGTGACAATTTGTGTGTGTGTGTATATATATATATAATGTGTATGTGTATATATGTGTTTTAATTTTTTTTTTAACAGAAAATTTTCGTGCTCTGAGCACTGGAGAGAAAGGATTTGGTTATAAGGGTTCCTGCTTTCACAGAATTATTCCAGGGTTTATGTGTCAGGTATGAAATTTACTGACTTTTATCTTATTTGGGTTGCTCCCTTCATTTGGCATTGAGCCAGAATATTTCAGAATACACATATCTGAGCTGTTACTCTTTTAACATTTTGGTTCTATTTAACCCTTCTATTCAGTTTGAACTTGGTTTTAAAGTTTGAGCTTTGCAGATTTGGCACACTTTATGGTTGTCAGAAGTGACAGTTTTCCTATATGTTGACAGGGTGGTGACTTCACACGCCATAATGGCACTGGTGGCAAGTCCATCTATGGGGAGAAATTTGAAGATGAGAACTTCATCCTAAAGCATACAGGTCCTGGCATCTTGTCCATGGCAAATGCTGGACCCAACACAAATGGTTCCCAGTTTTTCATCTGCACTGCCAAGACTGAGTGGTAAGGGTACAACATGGCACACTAACCACCTGACTAAATGAAAATTTGCCCGGGGGGGAACAGAACAAACACTAGTTGTTTTCTTCAACTTTTCCTTCCATAGACTTTTTCATCCCTAAGATACTAGAAGAGCATACATAGCTACAAATATAGTCAGTGTGATACAGAATGCCAGATACTATAATAGAAACTGAGCGCTTAGCTGGGCGGTTCAGTTAAGTGCGACTTTTTTTGTTTGTTTGTTTGTTTTGTTTTTAAGATGCAGTTTCGCTCTGTTGCCCATGTTGGAGTGCAGTGGCACAAATCTGGGCTCACTCCAACCTCTGCCTCCTGGGTTCAAGCGATTTTCCCGCCTTGGCCTCCTGTGTAGCTGAGAATACAGATGTGCGCCACCACACCTGGCTGATTTTTTTGTATTTTTGTAGAGATGGGTTTCACCATGTTGGCCAGGCTGGTCTTGAACTCCTGACAAGGTGATCCACCCGCCTTGGCTTCCCAAAGTGCTGGGAATTCAGGCATGAGCCACTGCACCCAGCCGAATAAGAGCCCCCTCCCCCCCCCCCTTTTTTTTTTGAGACTGGATCTCGCTGTCTCCCAGGTTGGAGTGCAGTGGTGCCCTCTCAGCTCACTGCAGCCTCCTCCCGGGTTCAAGCGATTCTTCTGCCTCAGCCTCCCAAATAGCTGGGACTACAGGCATGCACCACCACTCCCAGCTAATTGTTGTATTATTAGTAAAGCGGGGGTTTACCATGTTGGCCAGGCTGGTCTCGAATGCCTGGGCTCGAGTGATCTGCCCAACTTGACCTCCCAGAGTGCTGGAATTACAGGTGTGAGCCACTGTGCCCGGCCAATTAAGTGCTACTTTTATGTTACTATTAATAACATGTGATTGATTGAGTTTTTTTTGTTTTGTTGTGTTTATTTTTTGTGGGGGGGGGGAGCAGTTTATTCTTTTTTTTTTTTTTTTTTTTTTGAGACGGAGTCTTGCTCTGTAGCCCGAACTGGAGTGCAGTGGCCGGATCTCAGCTCACTGCAAGCTCCGCCTCCGGGGTTCTCGCCATTCTCCTGCCTCAGCCTCCGGAGTAGCTGGGACTACAGGCGCCCGCCACCTCGCCCGGCTAGTTTTTTGTATTTTTAGTAGAGACGGGGTTTCGCCGTGTTAGCCAGGATGGTCTCGATCTCCTGACCTCGTGATCCGCCCGTCTCGGCCTCCCAAAGTGCTGGGATTACAGGCTTGAGCCACCGGGAGCAATTTATTCTATATGTGTAACTCTTCAATGGTAATTGGAGAATTGTACATTTAATGACAGTACAAAAGGTTTTAGTTAAAAACAAAAAAAAAAAACTACCTTTCTTGTCTTGGTTCATGACACATGATGGACACTGCTTGTTTGTAGTCACCAATCATAGTGATTGTTCTTCCCTTTCAAGGTTGGATGGCAAGCATGTGGTCTTTGGCAAAGTGAAAGAAGGCATGAATATTGTGGAGGCCATGGAGCGCTTTGGGTCCAGGAATGGCAAGACCAGCAAGAAGATCACCATTGCTGACTGTGGACAACTCGAATAAGTTTGACTTGTGTTTTATCTTAACCACCAGACCATTCCTTCTGTAGCTCAGGAGAGCACCCCTCCACCCCATTTGCTCGCAGTATCCTAGAATCTTTGTGCTCTCGCTGCAGTTCCCTTTGGGTTCCATGTTTTCCTTGTTCTCTTCCATGCCTAGCTGGATTGCAGAGTTAAGTTTATGATTATGAAATAAAAACTAAGTAACAATTGTCTGTCCTTGTTTGAGTTAGAGTGTTGATGTAGGCTTTATTTTAAGCAGTAATGGGTTACTTCTGAAACATCACTTGTTTGCTTAATTCTACATAATACTTACATTTCTTTTTTTCCAGACCCAGGAAGTCTCAATGTTTGTTGAGTAGAATATTGAAAATGTAGGCAGCAGCTGGGCATGGTGGCTCACTGTTTGTAATGTGTTACCTGAGGCAGAAGACCACCTTAGGGCAGGAGTCAAGATGAGCCTGGGCAACATAGCGAGATGCTGTCTCTACAGAAAAAGAATTAGCCAGGCCTGGTGGTGCATGCCTAGTCCTAGCTGATCTGGAGGCTGACATGGGAGGATTGCTTGAGCCCTTGAGCTATGATCATACCACTCTACTCCAGCCTGGGTGTCACAGTGAGACCCTGTCTCTTAAAGGTAGGCAAGAGGCCGGAGAAGCAAGGAGCCAGAAATAAGAGGTTGGACCAGTGTGCACTGAGTTTATGCTTTTTTTTTTTTTTTTTTTCCTCCCCTGGACTGCAATGGTGCCATCTTACTGCAGCCTCCGCCTCCTGGGTTCAAGTGATTTTTGTGCCTCAGCTTCCTGAGTAGCTGGGATTACAGGCGTGCGCCACCATACCCAGCTAGTTTTTGTATTTTTAGTACATACAGGGTTTCATCATTTTGACCAGGCTAGTCTCAAACTCTTGACCTCAGCTGATGCGCCAGCCTTGGCCTCCCAAACTGCCGAGATTACAGGTGTGAGCCACCACACCCGACCTCATTTTCTGTAACAAAGCTAAGCTTGAACACTTGGTGTTCTTGAGGGAAGCATATTGGGCTTTAGTCTGTAGGTCAAGTTTATACATCTTTTAATTACGGTGGAGTTCCCATGTAGAGTCTGAAAAGCCAGGTACTTGCTGCTGCAGTCAGTCTCCCTGCACAGGGTTAAGGCCCAGACTAACTGCAGTGACGAGGTTCTGCTTTTAGCATATAGAGCCTCTCCCTAGCTTTGGTTATGGAGACTTTGAGGTTTTCCAAACCTGACCAATTTAAGCCATAAGATCTGGTCAAAGGGATACCCTTCCCATTAAGGACTTGGTTTCTCATTAAGTTATATGTACAGTGCTTGCTGGCAATTAGATGTATAGGTTTAACAGTACATGTCAGAACAATCTAAGCTGAGAAAACCCCTTCACTGTCCACCTTAACTGACCTCTAGGGTTCTTAACCCAGCAATCAAGTTTGCCTATCCTAAAGGTGTCAGATTTGATCATTTGATGTGTTCTGCAATTTTTGTTTTACTGTCTCTTTTTGTGTGAATTACCACACCACCACCACTTGCACATCTCAGTCCTGTATCTTAGGTTATGTATTCCCTGGGTGATACCATTCAATGTTTTAATGTACTTGTGGCTCAGGCCTGAGCACAAGGTGGAAATAAACATCAAACATTCTTTCATTATCCCTACTATTTCCTTATTCCATTAGTTAACAAGATAGTTGTCTCACCACATCAAGTCATTAACTGCTTTATTCATCCAAGTATTGAACTTTTTTCTTTGAGACAGGGTTTGGCTCTTGTTGCCCAGGCTGGAGTGCAATAGCACTACGTCTGCTCACTGCATCCTCTGCCTTCTGAGTTCAAACAGTTCTCCTGTCTCAGCCTCCCGAGTAGCTGGGATTACAGGTGTGCACCACCACACCCAGCTAATGTTTTGTGTTTTAGTAGAGTAGGGATTTGCCATGTTGGCCAGGCTGGTTTCAAACAGACCTTAGGCAATCTGCCCACGTCGGCATCCCAAAGTGCTAGGATTTCAGGCGTGAGCCACTATGCCCAGCCCCATTTCTTTGAAAAAACAAACAAAAAAATTTCTCCGGTGCCCAGCATGGTTCCTGACAGGTTGGACCTCGGTAATCTCAGCACTTTGGGAGGCCAAGGCAGGCAGATTACCTGAGACTAGTAGTTTGAGACCAGCCTGGCCAACATAGAGAAACCCCGTCTGTACTAAAAATACAAAAATTACATGGTCATGGTGGCGCATTTCTGTAATCCCAGCTACTTAGGAGGCTGAGGCAGGAGAATTGCTTGAACCCAGGAAGCACAGTGAGCCAAGATCGTGCCACTGCACTCCAGCCTGGGAGACAGAATGAGAGACTCTTGTCTCAAAAAAAAAATGGGTCCTGCTGTGGTGGCTCATACCTGTAATCCCAGCATTTTGGGAGGCCAAGGCCTGAGGACCTTGAGCCAAGGAGTTTGAGACCAGCCTGGGCAATATGGGGGGGCAAATAAAATAAGCTGGGATGCCAGGTGTGGTGGCTCACGCCTGTAATCCCAGCACTTTGGGAGGCTGAGGCAGGTGGATCATGAGGTCAGGAGATCGAGACCATCCTGGCTAACACAGTGAAACCCTGTCTCGACTAAAAATACAAAAAATTAGCCGGGTGTGGTGGTGGACACCTATAGTCCCAGCTACTCAGGAGGCTGAGACGGAAGAATGGTGTGAACCTGGGACGCTGAGCTTGCAGTGAGCCAAGATCACGCCACTGCACTCCAGCCTGGGCGACAGACTCTGTCTCAAAAAGAAAAAAACTGGCCTCAAACAATCCTCCCGCCTCCATTTCCCAATGTGCTGGGGTTACAGGTGTGACCCTCCATGCCCAACCGCTGGGAAGATAATTATGTGCCAAAGTAGACAATTTTCTCCCTCAACAGACCTTTTGAAAGGAAGACCAGGCCAGGCACCATGGCTCACGCCTGTAATCCCAACACTTTGGGAGGCCAAGGCGGGTGGATCAGCTGAGGTCAACCAACATGGTGAAACTCCATCTCTACTAATAACACAAAAAATTAGCCTGTAATCCCAGCTACTCAGGAGGTGGACGTTGCAGTGAGCCGAGATTGCACCATTGCACTCCAGCCTGGGCAAAAGAGCAAAACTCCGTCTAAAAAAAAGGAAGGTGAGTCAGATGCCAAGTTGGTAACCTGTCATCAGCATGTGTAGTAAGATTTGACCTGGTCAGAAGGTCTCAAATGGCTACCCTGAGAAAGAAGTGGTTCTTGGAATAAAAGTAACCAGGAAAACCCATCATTTTTCTGGTGGTTGGAGGCTCATGGAAACCCTTAGGAAACTTACAAGCTGAGAGGCGGGAGTTTGCCTAGACCACGCTGAGAACTGAATTTGCTGTATATATCCATGCCTTACACAGTGAATAAGAAGATACTCGGGGCTGGGCACAGTGGCTCACACCTGTAATCCCAGCACTTTTGGAGGCCGAGGCAAGTGGATCACCTGAGTCCAGGAATTCGAGACCAGCCTAACCAACATGGTGAAACCTCATCTCGACTAACAATACAAAGATTAGCCAGGCATGGTGGCACGCGCCTGTAATCCCAGCTACTTAGGAGGCTTGAGGCAGGACAATTGCTTGAACCTGGGAGGCAGAAGTTGCAGTGAGTTAAAATTGGCCCCATTGCATTCCAGCCTGGGCAACAGAGTGAGACTTCGTCTCAAAAAAAAAAAAAAAAAAAAAAAAAAAAGAAGATACTCAGCCCAGCGCGGTGGCTCACTCCTGTAATTCTAACACTTTGGAAAGCTGAGGCAGGTGGATCATCACCTGAGGTCAGGAGTTTGAGACCACCCTGAACAACATGGTGAAACCCCATCTCTACTAAAAATATAAAAATTAGCTGGGCATAGTGGCATGCACCTGTAATCCCAACTACTTGGAAGGCTGAGGCACAAGAATCACTTGAACTCGGGAGGCGGAGGTTGCAGTGAGCTGAGATTGTGCCACTGCACTCTAGACTGGGTGACAGAGCAAGACTCCAGCTCGAAAAAAAAGAAAAAAATATATACTCTGCTTCACAGGGTTGTGGGGATTAAATATGAAGTACTTAGAAGAGTGGTTAGCACATGGTACATGCATGAACAGTTCTGTTAGTGTGTAAACACCCAGCAGGGATTTATCTAGCTTTTCACCAGTGTATCCCAGTATCTAGGCCAGAGCTTGGTTCAGAGAAGGCTCAGAAGAAACATCACAGTAACTGTGTGATAGATCCCCTTCTGAGCCCTTTAAAAATGTTCTAGACTGGGCATGGTGGCTCACACCTCTAATCCCAACACCGGGGAGGCCAGTGTAGGCAGATCACTTGAACCCAGGTGTTCGAGACCAGCCTGTGCAACATGGTGAAACTCTTGTCTACATTAAAAATAGAAAAATTACCCAGGCAGCCGGGCATGGTGGCTCACGCCTGTAATCCCAGCACTTTGGGAGCCCAAGGCGGGTGAATTATGAGGTCAGGAGTTCGAGACCAGCCTTGCCAACATGATGAAACCCCATTTCTGGGGGTGGGGATAAGGGACCATCTTTAAGAGATGCCTACCACAAGTCTATAAAATATGTACAATTTAAAGACCAGAAATAAAAAGAACTCCAGCATATCTACTGGTATCCCAGAAATGCCCTTTGTGAGTCCTCTTCAGTTGCATGCTCTCTCCTCTTCAGAGGGACCCATGATTCCAATTTTTTTTTTTTGAGACAAAGTTTTGCTTTTGTTGCCCAGGCTGGAGTGCAATGATGCAATCTCGGCTCGACGCAATCCTCCGCTTCCTGGGTTCAAGCGATTCTCCTGCCTTAGCCTCCCGAGTAGCTGGGATTACAGGCATGTGCCACCACGTCTGGCTAATTTTGTATTTTTAGTAAAGACGAGGTTTCTCCATATTGGTCAGGCTGGTCTTGAACTCCCTACCTCAGGTGATCCTCCTGCTTCAGCCTCCGAAAGTGCTGGAATTACAGGCGTGAGCCAGTGCGCCCGGCCCATGATTTCAATTTTTGTGTTCATCAATCTCTAGCACCTGTGTCCCTAAAAACATATTGAGAAAAAAGTGAGAAGCAAGCACAAACCTAATTGTGCAAAGAAGGGTTGAAATTGCCACTATTATGAGGCAGGCCCCCAGGAGAAGGCAAGTTGAGCATCCTGGGTTAGAGCGTGGCCTCAGCGTCTTTGAGAAC